CAAAAAACACAAAAAAAAAAAAAAAAAAAAAAAAAAAAATATATATATATATATATATATATATATATATATATAAAGAACACAATAATGTAAAAATCTACTAAGTCTTTTAATGTAAAGAATATGCATTTATACACTATACTGTTTCCATTAAGGATTTAACATGGCTTACAAAAGAAATATAACAGTAAAAGAATAAAACGTAAATAATAATAATAAAATATAAAGATAATTATTTAATTAGCACCGGAGAAATCGTAACTAAGAAAAAAGAAGCAAATACGCAAAACATAAGAGCTTTCAGAAATACTGTTGTTGGCAACCAAAATGAAGAGATTAACAAAAGTTGCGTGGCTCTTACTGTCCATTAGGAGAAAACACAGCACCTTCTCACTTTAAAAAGGACAGTTTTGCACACCTCCCCCAATGGAAAAGAAAAGTTTTCATGATTAAAAATTTTCTAGGGGCTTCCCTGGTGGCGCAGTGGTTGAGAGTCCGCCTGCCAATGCAGGGCACACGTGTTCGTGCCCCGGTCCGGAAAGATGCCACATGCCGCAGAGCGGCTAGGCCCGTGAGCCATGGCCGCTGAGCCTGCGCGTCCGGAGCCTATGCTCCGCAACGGGAGAGGCCACAACAGTGAGAGGCCCGTGTACCGAAAAAAAAAAAAAAAAAAAATTTCTAAATTAAATAAATTTAGCTTGATGAAAAGCTCACTATGTTGGCCCTATTTCTCAAATGTTATGTTATTGCCAGACAGTTAAATTAAAAAAAAAGAAAAACTTTACACGCCAACATTTGTGGCTATTAATACAACAAACACAGGAAAGAATTTCACAAAGCTGCTTCTCTGTGGTACCCCTTGATGAAAACAAGGAAATAAACACCAGGTACAACTAAAAAGAGACAGCTGGGTGGGCAGGGGCAGAGAGAAGGGGGGAAGGGAGAAGTCAGTATGGAATGGGAGAGGTATATAGATTTCTGATGGTCCATCCTGATCCCAGAAAGAATGGATACAACTTAGAGGAATGTAAGAGCTACGCATCCTTCATACTACAGGAATCTGAGACTTTGGTAAAAGAAATGGAGAGTACACAGAGTGAGGTAGAAATCTCTGGTGAGCACCCGTAAGTTATATACTCTGTGGTGTCGGCTGAGGATGGATCCACGAGAGTTGGATATAATATCATATACAGTCAACATGCTTTTACGAAAATTAAGGAGCCTATTAAAGGCCAAGTCACATCAGCACAGAGGAGGGCCCCAGCAATTAAAGGGCATGTACAAACTACAAAAATAAAGACATATGGAAAGAAGACATACGGAAGAATATTTACTTGCATATATATATACATATATATATATGTATATATATATATATTTTTAAACCCATGCCCCCTGCAATGGAAGTGCAGAGTCCTAACCACTGGACCGCCAGGGACCCGCATGCATTTTTAAAGAAATGAAAATCAAGAGTATCATTCAGCAACTATACGTGAAGCAAAAGTAAAGAATAACGTAAAAATTTAATATTGTGTGGATTTTAAGAAAAGAGTTATATTCAAAATTTGTTAGAATCAAAATATCCCAGAATAATGGAACTAGTTAAGCCAACGATGATATATTAGTGTATCTGTGCATGAAAATGATTACGCATGATAAATGTGAACAAATATGGAGAGATGCTTACGGAATACTAAGAAAAAAAAAAAAAAAAAGCATAAAGTGTATGTAGTCCCTGAATACCACAATGTAAAAACTATGTATATAGGCGTACAGAAAAGCACTTGGCTGGGTCACAGAACAAGTCCACAGGAGCCTGCCTCTTTAAGAGCTCTGGCCGGCCAGCCTGGGGCAAGCTCTCAGGAACTGCAGGATTTGCCCAGGACTGACCTCATCTACTCTCAGGTTTTACTCTCCCTTTGCCTGTTCAATGTCTAACCTCATCCTCAACCACGCACCCCCAGTTTTATCCTCCCAATCTGGCATTTTCTCCTTCTCCGTCTTCTTTAATTCTCACCACAACCTGTGAGGTAGGTATCACTGTGGCTATTATTAATAAACGATTAAATGAGTGAATGGTTACAACTTAAATCTCAACAGAAGCTTTGTTTTCAGACCTTCCAATAGGACAACATTCCTCTTATTTCACTGACGTCCTCTAAGGTTTACCTGCACATGGCTTCTTGGCTGACTCAGCCGGGCCAGAGACCAGAGGACCGGCCTCTGCAGCCCTAGCTGCGTGTACTCCTTGTTTCTCAAGGCCCTGGAAATGCTCAGCAGAAGACGCTGAATTATCTAAAAAGAAGAAGAAAAAGATGAGGTTTCCTGCCATACCCCTTTACTCTAAATTTCATTCTACATTGGGATCATCAGCCCAGCTAATCAGATCACTGATAAAACTCCCAACACTTTGTATTTGGAGAGTTCGTGTCTTCTGGAGTAAAATATACATATATATTTATATATCTCAACAGCAAGCAGAAAGTCACATTTCATAGCTAGGAGAGACCCACTAAACAAGACCAGATCTAGAGAATAACAGGCCCTACCCACAGTACAGTGTAGAACGTCCCTGCCACCATTTAGGGACACACCTACACAGGCTCTGACACTGGTACATGCAGAAGCCTCCCTACCTTCAAACCACCACTCATAGTTGGCCACTACCATCCCAACACAAGAAAATTCCAAATTAAAGCTTAGGGACTCTGACTTTGATGATCTGGTTTTCCTATCAGCAATTCTCCAAAGCCCACCACCCAATGAAACTGATTTTCAGCTATAAGCAAAACTAATGGGATAAGTACTCTCACATTGTGATTTAAGAAAACCAAGCCACACTTTATAGACCTTAAAAAAGGACAGACTATGTGGCAATATGAGAAGATATTTATGATGTTGTACAATGTGAAAATGAAAGATACTAAACTAATGCAGACTTTGACCACCACTGGACTAGTATTTTCTAGTAACAGGACTGAAGGGCCTGTAATTAAATAGTACCAATTATTATGGATTAGAGTGAGTGGAGTCATATGTGATTTTTATGTTTACTCTCTATTTTCCAAATTCTTCTGTAATGTGGTTAAAATTTCCTAAAAATTTAAGAAAAAACTTTAACTCAATTTAATAAAAGAAAGCCATCCCTACATTATCCTTACCTAGATTCTAGTCACTAGCCCACCTCCCTCCTCTTTTCACCTACCAAAGCGGTTAAGACTGTTCTTCCTACTTCCTGACCCCCAACTTACCGAGGAACTACACTGTTCAAACACTTGGGCAGAGGCTATTAGCTGGCAGCGCTGAAAATAAACTCCATCCCTTCCCTCCTTTGGTTAGAATCAGTTCCATATCATAGAATGTTGACTGATGAAGCTTCCCCAAGGACAGAGCAGCAATTAACCTAGGAAGTGCTTTTTCCCCAGACTCACTTTCAGCTCAGCACTACACTGCTGACAGTGTTTTGTCTACCTCTGAGAGTCTCACCTTTATTTTCAAGCATCTTGTGCAGCTTCATGTGCTTGTAGGTAGCAATTATCTGAAAATTAACGACACTTGGAATATTCAATCCTTGGTCCTGCAGCAGCTGCAGGGATGTAGCGTGAATTAGCTGATGAGACCGCTTGCACTTCGGCAGCCTGCACTCTCCCCTGACAAAGGACTTGCACACGTGAAACTTGCTGCATTTATCCTTGAGGTTGCAGTAACCATACAGGGCTTCACCTTTGTTGTAGAGCAAACAGACCTGGTACAGAAGTGAAGCAACACTTAGGACGTTCATTTTCACTGTATCTCTTAAGCCAGTAAAGGACAGCTTCTCTAAATGGCACCTTCTGATCATCAGTGGCTATTAAAATCATCGTGGGTGAAAGGCAGATGGGTATATAATAGTTCCTCCACCCACATCTCCCCTAGCTGTTACTAATGTTCAGCTGCCCCTCTCTGACCTTGACTCTCAGTTGGCCCGCCCTCCTATCCCAGAGCCTGTAGCCAATGAGTGACTTCTATGCAGGTACAAAAGGCTGGCCCCCTTGCCTCAAGGCTAGAACGATTCTTCGATGTAATTTTTGCTCTAGAGCCCGGGCATGAATCAAGTCAAGGCCAGACTTCACCTTGCTTGTAGCTCTCCCGTCCCTCTTTTTTACTTTACAGATTTTCCCCAAGGATCCCTCCTTCAATAGATCACATGCACCTAAAACACTATGTCAGGCTCTGCTTCCAGGGAAACCAACCTGGAAGCGTGAACAGATAATTTATTATCCAAACTAGGGCATTTTTCAGGGAGCACTATTAATATTTGCATTGGGACCAGACACTGTGTGCCTCCTGAGATGATGCAATAGGAAATACAACTTTCGAGGTATTAGCATTAAAGTCTGACATGGCTGGAAACCCCCCAGTCCCAGGCAACCAGGGACTGTTAGTCACCCTAACAATACACCAAATATACAAAAAATTCTTGCTACAAAATCAAGCCTAAATCCAATCAAAGGTCCAGATCTATCAATTTACAGAAAATACAGGGGATAGAGGAACATGTTAAATGATATTAGAAGAACACAATTAGTCAAACCTTAAAACGTGGGAAGATTCTAGTGGACACAAATGACCTGGTTTAAAACAAAATGGTATCAGAGAACAAATGAATGGCTGCCAGAAGGGAGGTGGGTGGAGGATGGGTGAAATAATTGAAGGGAATTAAGAGGTACAAGCTTCCAGTTATAAAATAAGTCATGCGAGATTCATTGTAGTGATTTTTTCATAATGTATGAAAATACTGAATCACTATGTTATATACCTGAAACCAATATAATATTATAAATAATTATACTTCAAAAAAAATTTTCAGAAAATAAAAAAATAATAAGTCATGAGATCAACCAACAAGGGATTAAGCTCCAAAATATACAAATAGCTCATGCAGCTCAATATCAGAAAAACAAAAAAACAAATCAAAAAATGGGCAGAAGATCTAAATAGACATTTCTCCAAAGAAGACATACAGATGGCCAAGAGACACATGAAAAGATGCTCAACATCATTAATTATTAGAGAAATGCAAATGAAAACTACAATGAGGTATCACCTCATAGCTGTCAGAAAGGCCATCATCAAAAAAATCTACAAACAATAAATGCTGGAGAGGGTGTGGAGAAAAGGGAACCCTCCTACACTGTTGGTGGGAATGTAAATTGGTACAATCATTATGGAGAACAGTATGGACACTAAAACTAGAGCTACCATATGATCCAGCAATCCCACTCCTAGGCATATATCCAGAGAAAACCGTAATTCGAAAAGATACATGCACCCCAATGTTCATTGCAGCACTATTCACAACAGCCAGGACATGGAAGCAACCTAAATGTCCATCAACAGGGGAATGGATAAAGAAGATGTGGTACATACATGCAATGCAGTATTACTCAGCCATAAAAAGAAAGAATGAAATAATGCCATCTGCAGCAACACGGTTGGACCCAGAGATTGCCATACTGAGTGAAGTAAGACAAAGATATCATATGATACTACTTATACGTGGAATCTAAAAACATGATACAGATGAACTTATTTACAAAACAGAAATAGAGTCACAGATGTAAAAAAAAAACAACTTATGGTTACCAGAGGGGAAAGAAGGGGGAGGGATAAATTGGGAGACTGGGATTGACATATACAGACTACTACATATAAAACAGATAACTAATAAGGACCTACTGCATAGCACAGGGAGCTCTACTCAATACTCCGTAATGACCTACATGGGAAAAGAATCTAAAGAAGAGTGGATATATGTGTATGTAAAACTGATTCACTTTGCTGTACAGCAGAAACTAACACAACATTGTAAATCAACTATACTCCAATAAAAAAATTTTTTTAAAGTCATGGTGATATAAAGAATATCGTCAATAACACTGTAATAACTTTGTATGGAGACAGATGATTATTAGACTTACCATGGTGATCATTCCATATGTATTTAAACGTCATACATATGAAACCAACATAATATTGCACATCAATTATACTTCAATCAGTAAGCCAAAACATGGTATGCTGCCTATGATTGTGATGCCAATTTTCTAAAATGAACCCATAATTTTAGTGCAACCCCAGAGAATTCCTATAAAATAGTTTTAGGAATTTGAATGATTCCAAAGCTCATCTGAAAAAGGAAAGAAGTGAGAATCAATTAATGAAAAAAAGAAACAGGAAGCCAGACAGTTTTTTGAAAAATAGAAGCATTAAAATAAAAATGTAAAAAAACTCACAAAATGAGTATAAGTTAAGGCCTCTACAAGACAGTATTAAGCACATATAGTCTTATTGCTCAGCTCTAGTAAATCTTGAAGCAACAGATTATTCTGACTTGGGGGCTAGGTCTAGGATCTGTTTTCTTTGATTGCCTGTACATTCTGGAACCAGTATCACACTGTTTAATGAAAGTAGTTTATATTTTAAGATATGATGGTACGAGTCTCTATGCCCAGTTTATTATAAAAGGATATATAACTCAGGAATAGTTGGATGGAAGAGATGCATAGGGCAAGGTATGTGGGAAAGGGTGTGGAGCTTCCATGCTTTATCTGGGCGCCACTCTCCCAGCACCTCCACATGTTCACCAACCTGGAAGCTCTCCAAAGCCATCCTTTTGGATTGTTTAAATCACGGGCCATTGGTAATTGAACTTAATCTCTAGGCCCTTTTCCCTCCCAGGAGGTGGGAGTGGGACTGAAAGTTCCAACCTTCTAATCACATGACTGGCTCTTAAGGAAACCAGCTCCCATCCCTAGGTTACCTAGAGGTTTTCCAAAAGTCACCACATGAACATACCAAAAGTCACTTTTTATCGCTCCCACGTTTGACATGTACATACCGCTATATTTAAAATGGATAACCAGGGACTTCCCTGGTAGTGCAGAGGCTAAGAATCCGCCTGCCAACGCAGGGGACGTGGGTTTGAGCCCTGGTCCGGGCAGATTCCACATGCCACGGAGCAACTAAGCCTGTGTACCACACTACTGAAGCCCGCGTGCCACAAATACTGAGCCCAGGTGCTGCAACTACTGAAGCCCGCGCACCTAGAGCCTGTGCTCTGCAACAGGAGAAGCCATCACAGTGAGAAGCACACACACCGCAACGAAGAGTAGCCCCTGCTCACCACAACTAGAGAAAGTCCGCATACAGCAACAAAGACCCAACACAGACAAAAATTAATAAATAAATTAATTAATTTAAAAAAAAAGTAAAATGGATAACCAACAAGGACCTACTGTATAGCACAGGAAACTGCTCAATATTATGTAACAACCTAAATGGGAAAAGAATTTTTAAAAAAATAGATACATATATATGTATAATTGAATCACTCTGCTGTATACCTGAAACTATCACTACATTGTTAATCAACTATACTCCAATATAAACTAAAAAGTTAAAAAAAAATTTAGGAAATTCCAAGGGTCTTAGGAACTCTGTGCCAGGGGCAGAGACAAATACCAAATATATATTTCTTATTATAAATCACAATATCACAATACTTGCCCCTTATTGATTTTTTATGTGTACTGTACCTATATTACATACTGAATCCTTAGGAGTGTGGCAAAAAGGAATCACCAGGCATTTTCACACATGAGATGTGAGGTACCACTCCTGCCTCATCCACTGTGCTTGTCCACGGTTCCTGCTGTCTTGGCCGTGTTTTGTGCCACGTGCCACGCACCTCCAGTTCCAGATGATTAGATGGAAGGCAGGCTCCTATCTTTTTTTTTTTTTTTTTTTTTTTTTGCAGTACGCGGGCCTCTCACTGTTGTGGCCTCTCCCGTTGCGGAGCACAGGCTCCGGACGCGCAGGCTCAGCAGCCATGGCTCACGGGCCTAGCCGCTCCGTGGCATGTGGGATCTTCCCGGACCGGGGCACGAACCCGTCTCCCCTGCATCGGCAGGCGGACTCTCAACCACTGCACCACCAGGGAAGCCCCAGGCTCCTATCTTAAACGCAGCCAACCCATCAACTGCTCACAGAACACTGACATAGTCTAATATGACAAGATGAGGCTGGCCCCAGGATACTCGGGTAGAAGCCATAAAGAAAAAAATGCAATAAGTTTAACAACAGAAACATGTTCAGCTTCTATAAGTCAAAAAAATTCATAAACATTAAAGGTAAACAGAAGTTGCACTGCCCCTTCTCTCTGAGACAAAACAGACCACCACCCCCCACCCCCACTATAGCTGCCGCATCCTCCTCTCCAGATCTGCCAAGATCTCTCGTAATACTTTCTTTGGGGATTCCAACCCTTCTGTTAAAAAAATTCTTTGTGTATAGCTAAACAGATACAAACGTGCTCATTCTGCCATAATAGCAGTTATAATGGGTACCTTTGGAACAACATAATGTAGTTCCAAAACTATTCAAATTAATATCTAAAGCCCCCAAAAAGTAAATGGGGGGGGGGGATATTTGTAACAAATGTGACCAAAAAAGGGATCTGTATCGTTAAAGACATCTTATGAATTAACAGGAAAAGACAAACGCCTGGATAGAAAAGTCAACAAAAGTATAAACAGGTAATTCACAGAACACAGGCTTCATAATCAGACAAAACTAAATTCAAATCTGCCATTTTCTATGTGACCTTGGGCAATTTATTTAATCGAGCCTCAGTTGCCTCACCTGTAAAATGGGGACAGGCATACCTCACTCATAGGCTATTAATCAGCTAAGGTATATGAATTACTCAGCATTCAGTAAGAACTAAAAAAACCAGTAGCCATTATTATTATTTCTATATCATACTTCTTGCGTATCAAAGCCCAGTAAAATCACAGCCTGCAGAAAGGCCAGGACTGTATCATACCCACCCCCCTTCCCCTCAGGCTGTCCTCTGTAAGCAGATTGTTGATGTTCTCCCCTGACTTTTTTCAAGGTGCAGACAATATGAGGGTGACTCCTTAGTGACTCACCTCTGGTAAAAGGCAGGGGTCATTCTGCAAAAGAAGGATCCGAAGCTGGGCCTCATTGAGACCAAACAGTCCCTGGTTTTTCAGGACCTGGATGTTGACAGGTATGTGGATATCATGAGAAAGGGTGCAGGTAGACCTAGAACACAAAGGTCTGAATCAGAGGCCCAGACGAAGAGGGAGCCAGACTGTCAAATCCCTTCCCTAGGGTCACTTTCAACTTACAGGTGAAGTTACACAATTTTCCATGAACCCATGGATACTACAGTCTAATAAGCTCTGATAATAAGAAAGCTGGGATGAAGCAACTCCCCTCCCAGAGCCATATAATTCTGAATGAGGATGCTTTAAGGCCAAAGGGACCCGCTCCCCCAGTCACCTGCCTTGACAGAGGGTGCCCGTGGGTGGGTTCTGCAGAGGACCGCACTGGGCCTTCTCCACCCCAAGCGGCTGCGCCCCCCACCATCCACCAACCTTAAACAGAATGCATGCCTCCTCCCCCCACCCCGCTTTGGGGGGCTAGAGGAAACCGAGGAAGACTGGAGTTAGGAGGCCGCCTCTAACGACCTCTTCCAAATCATCCAGCCCTCAGTTTCCTGGAGGGGGGGGTGTCAAACTAAATCGCGCTTTCTAAACCTAGAGAGCACAGACTCGCGTCTGTAAAACTGTGCTCAAGTGGGAAGGGCCGATCTCTGGATAAAGGATCCATGAATCTCATGGGGTCCTCAAATGGCCCCCAAAGGGCCACTGGTGGAAATGAACGCAAAAGTCCCAACCTGATTTATGCCGGCCGTGCTGTGGAGGATCTCGGGGGGCGGGGGGGAGGGGGAAGAAGCTGCAGTCTGGGGCGGGGGGAGGCTGTTGAGAAGTCCAAGTCCGGACGAGCTTCCGCCTCATTCCGCAGCTGGGAGCACGGGGAGGCCTCCCAGCGAAGGACCCGGAGGGGCCCCTTCCCGGGGCTTTCCTTCCGCCCTTCCGAAGGGGGGCGTCCGGCCCGGACCAACGACCCCTTTTCTTACTTCTTAGCTGGGTCCCGCTTCCGGCTGGCCAGGCCAGGCCCGCGGCCCGTGCGCCCTGACCGCCGCGTCCCGCCCGCCGCCCCGACCCGTCCGCAGCCTCACCAGCAGTCGCGGTTCGGGCACTTGCCCATCATGTGGCGGCGGCAGAGGTGCAGCTGGTCGCAGGCCTGGCACTCGCCGCGCTGGTAGCGAGCGCAGAGGCGCGCGGAGGACACAGCCACAACCCGCCAGGCCGAGGGGCCGCCGCCGCCGCCAGCGCAGCCCTCGCCGGCCGCCACCTCGGCCTCGGCGTCCCACGGGTCCTCCCGCACCTCCACCTCCTGCAGCAGGAAGCGGTCGGGCCCGGCCTGACGCAGCACGTCCCGCAGCCGGGCCTCCGAGAGCTCCACGTGGCCGCGCAGATCCTGCAGGAACATGCGGCCGCCGTGGGCGCACAGCACCTTGGTGAGGAACGAGCATACCGTGGGCTCCGCCATGGTCGCGGCCCGGCTCCGTGTGCGGAAATCCGAAGCGGGCAGACTCCTCCCAGTCACGTCCAAGACTACAAACCGCGTTCCCGGGGCGGGCCGGGGGGAGGGTGGGCGAGGGGCGGCCGCCCGCGGGCTGCGGCGCAGAGAGGCGGGCTCCGGGGCCTGGGTCCACCCTGGGCGCGGATCGGGCGGGGACAGACTTGATTGAGCGCCTGCTCTGCGCCAGGCACCCTTCAAAGTTAAGTCCTCGCCTGGAGGGGCTCGTATAGTCGGGGGGGAATTTGAGATACTGGTAAGGGCTACAAAGAAGATGAAACAGGGAATGTGGTAGAAGGTGCCTAGCTGGGCGGCGTTAGGTAGCTGGGAGAGGAAGACCTCAGGACTTAGCCACTAGCCACAGTTAAGCATTTGAAATGTGACCAGTGCGAGTTGGAACGTGCTTCAAGTGTGAAATACACATACACCGGATTTGGAAGCTTTAGAATGCAGAGAGTGTAAACTTCATATTCATGATGTTAAACTGATAATATTTAAATAAAACGTTATTATAATTTCATCTGTTTCTTTTACTTCTAATGTAGCTATGAGAAAATGTAAAATGGCTCACTTTATATTTCTGTTGGACAGCATCTGTTTAGACCTGTACATTTATTAAGGAGCTATCTTTTTGCCCAACACCACGCTGATTTAATGACTATTTTTTGAGCCAACCGCTAATGCAGCAACAGAGTATAAAGATGAATAAAACATAATTGAGGAACTCAACTAGCCGAGTTGCTGTCTTAACAGGGTGGTTGTGAGGATTAAATGAGTTAATGTCACATAAAGAAGCCAAAGAGGAAGGCCACTTTAGCTTCCAGATGCCAGAAGACATTCTCTGCCGTGTTAAGAAATCTGGACTTACGGAAGACTTTGGGAAGCTACTGAAGGAATTTCCGCTGGCGAGTGACGGTGATCCCTCTGCCTAGAATGCTCCCCCGCACCCCTTTCTAGATGTCTCCTTTTTGTCATTCAACTCTGAGCTTAAATGTCTTCTCTTTAGCAAGGCCTTTCCTAAAGGAGCACCCAGGTCTCTGCATGGAACTTATCACTCATGTTTTTCTTCTTACTTATTTATATATTTGTAGAATTCAAACGTGTGAAAGCAGGAATTTTGTGTCTTATTCCTTGCTGTATCCCCAACACTTAAAAACAGTGCCTGGCTATATTGTAGGATAGGTGTTTTTTATTTTGTTTTTGTTTTTTAAAAAATTTTGTAGTAGACAATTTTTCAAGCGGGAAATTAGAAGACAGTGAAATAAGCACCCATATATATCTATTTCCTCGTGTTATAAAATCTTAACACTTTGTCCTATGTTATTTGCCTGATTGTTTTGGCTGAGAATTTGTAAGTTTCAATTTCAATTTCTAGATAATTCAATCCTAAATACTTCAGTAGGCATGACTTTTTTTTTTTTTTTTTTTTTTTGCGGCAAGCGGGCTTCCCACCGCCGCGGCCCCTCCCGTTGCAAAGCACAGGGTCCGGACGCGCAGGCTCAGCGGCCATGGCCCACGGACCCAGCCACTCCGCGGCATGTGGGATCCTCCCGGACCGGGGCACGAACCCGTGTCCCATGCCTTGGCAGGGGGGCCCCCCACCCCCTTGGCAGGCGGACTCCCAACCACTGCGCCACCAGGGAAGCCCAGGCATGACTTTTAAAAATGGTAAATTTTCCTACATAATCCTAACATCATTTTCATAATTAACAAAAGTAACTGTAACTTTCCTTAACACTTCTAATATAGGATAGGTGTTTTAGAAAGATCCCTGGCAGTAATAAGAATGGATTTCTAGAAAAGCAAGACAGGATAAGGAATAACAGAAGAGAAACACGAGTTGAGGGATTATCATCTCAATTTTTATTGTGTTGTTTGCAGTGGGCAATCCAAGAGAAGATGCTCAGTGGGCAGTTGTATTTACAAGTCAAGAGCTTAAGAAAGATTGAAGAGACTATTTGACTGACATCAGAGTACTAGTAATTGGAGCTGTGAGAGTTGATAAGGTCACTCAGCACAAATAAAGTGAGGAACAGAGATGGGAGGATAGAACCTTGGGGAGTAGCAACATCAAACATTTCTGAAAAATTGAGAGCCTACTACAGCAAAGTAAATGAACAAATAACTAAGTGGAAAACTCAAGCATCTGCTCATGCTTGGTTTGATGCCACTTTGTATATTTGAATGTAGGTGTTTTTGACAGCAATGGGTTGGCTATACATTGTTTTATTTACATTGAAGTCCATAACAAATGGCAAATCTTACCTTCAGTTTAATCATATCTATGTTGCCATATAAAGGTTTTCTCTCTCCATCCAAAGCTTTATGATTAAAAACGAATGAGGGGCTTCCCTGGTGGCACAGTGGCTGGGAGTCCGCCTGCCGATTCAGGGGACATGGGTTCGTGCCCGGGTCCGGGAAGATCCCACATGCCGCGGAGCAGCTGGGCCCATGAGCCATGGCCTCGGGGCCTGCGCGTCCGGAGCCTGTGCTCCGCAACAGGAGAGGCCACAACAGTGAGAGGCCCGCGTACCACACACACAAAAATAATAATAATAAATAAAAACGAATGAGTGGGGACTTCCCTGGTGGCACAGTGGTTAAGAATCCGCCTGCCAATGCAGGGGACACGGG